GTAGAAGCAACGTACTAGAGATATAGAGGGTTCCGATGTCAGCAGTGCTGGTTTGAAAAAATGATCGAAAGAACATGTAAACTGCTGTACTTAAAAGTATATCAGCGGATAGAGAATGCTTCGATATGTAAGAAAATAATTGTGAGTGTAAATCTTTTATTTTTGTACACCCACACTCCTCTCCGTACTCATGATGTGCCTCCAGTACAGATTATAATATTAATATATTCAGATTTTCAAGTAGTAAATGGGATGCTGCAACCTAGTAAAAAAATATTTGACTGTATTTTTAAGTGTATATTTTTTAGGAAGAATCGAGCGCTTCAATATTTTCAACTTGAGTTGTGCTACTCAAGTGAAATTTATGATAAAAAAATCAGCTCATAACTTTTTCTGGATTTGGTCTGGAAACAAGCAAACGAGGTGCGACAAAATATACGCCATACTTCCATGAATGCCAACAAAATGTAAATTATTCAATAAAAGAAAAAGCTAGTAATTCGTAGTTTTTAGCAATCGATAGTTTTTAGATTTGTGAATCTTTTTATGGAAAAGTATTTGATCTCGAATATTTATTAGGTTTCAGGAAGGATCAAAAGAGGGTGGGAAATTTTGTTAACTACTTCGGAAATTAGTAATAGAAATTCTTTCTTTTTTTATGAAACAAAAAAAAATGAATTCTAAGCAATGTTGTTGATAGAAAGAACATATATAGATAGAAGCATGGTTTTAACAACATATACAGAGCACAATCGTCAGATATGTCGATATTAATGTCGAGCGACTTGACTAAACATAAATTGTGAAAAAGTTGTTCGAATGTCTTTATAATGTACCAGAGATTAAAATCGCATCGATTAAGCAAATAACTCGATTCGATTCAACTTTTTATTGAAAAAGTTTATATAAATCAAATATAAAATTGGATCAAACTATGGTAAAATGTACTCTATTTGAGGACTTGATTTGTATGAAAATAATTTCTTTTTGGGATCTTGATAAATCACTGCAGGAGTGTCAATTTTGTGTTTCCGTTCTTAGGAACCCAGAACATCTTAAACTGTCTCACACAAAAAGATATACAAAGTTCTATGAACAACTCAGTATATATTTTAGAAAAATTCTAGAAAACATAATTTGCAGTCAATGACAAAGTTTTCTTGTGATAATGTCGTTGCTTTTTTTTTTATCAATGTATCCTTTTCATAATGGTGTCATTCAAATCCTATATATATATATATGTAATAGTCTTCTGTGAAATTCAAAAGTAAAATTGCCCATTTTTCTAAAGCAGTGATTGCACGTGCAAGTTTTGGTGATGATATTTCACTTCGATTATCAAATTTTGTCCATATATCACTATGTCGTGTTCTTTTTTTTCTCTTTTCATTTATTGTTCTTTGGAAAAACGAGGGATAACATTTACTTAAATTCAAATGGAATATCATCATATTGATTTATTGAACTTTTAAAAACTTGCAAAATTACAATACAAATGTAAATGTTGGTTTAAAAATAATAAAAAACAATTTCTATGTACACCATAATTAATAAACAAAAATAGAATATCTAGGACAAAAAAATAATAATTTAAAAATAATAGAGGGTGTAAGTGTAGATATTCGCTTCTTACCACACCCACCACTCTTAAAATTTCCTCCTTATGATGATGATTATAGTATCACAAAATATTCGTTCACTCTGTTGTTTATTATTATTTTACTTATCAACATAATCAAATAAAATGTGTATATAAAAGAAAAAACAAATCTGTCTTGTGTTAAAATTCGTCTTTATTTGTTTCTCGCTTGAGAAGTTTTCTAACAGTGATCTCGGTACTTCGTTTGTTTATTATAGTCTGTTTCAAAATTGTCTCCTGGAAGAGCAAGATACCTGTTGCTGTATCTATTTCCATCGTTATCCAAGAGTGGAATGGTACTTTGTTGTCAAGTATATCGATTATACCCAGCGTCTCAATGCCCAATGTCATCACTTCAGTGTCATATTCTTCACTGTCATAGATGCGAGTCACAGTTTTGTGTGTAACAATATTTTTCATTAGCTCGTTGGTCCAGCGATCACCGACCGATAAATCTTGTAGTGGTATGTTGGTTATTTCCTTAAAGTCTTCTCGTGTTTTCGAAGAAAGTAGCCGACGCTGTGCTCGTTCATCAGGAGGACTAAAATGTGCGTGTATATAAGTCTTTTCAATTTCAGCACTAGCCTCACGTGCTACATCTTCGAGTTCGACAATACGTTCCGTATATATTGTCTCTTTTTGTTCAACTTCCGTCTTTCCAGTCAAAATGTTTATAGTTGTTCTTGTTTTATTCTCGGCATAAGTGAATGTATCGCCCAATGAATATTGATTTCGAATTCGTACTGATGCAACAACATGTATGAATATAAGAAAACCAGTCAGAAACAACGAATTGCTGAGAGCACAAGCCATGTTTAAGAGGCACACACGAATGAAAGAACGACAATGAAAAAATGCATACGCTCTTCTCTTTTGCTTACTCGTTTTATAGATTTGGCGTTGTAAAACTGAATCATTATTTGTTTCCATGACTATAGGACAATTAATTTCGCTTCTTTCTTTCTGATGAGGCATAAGTTATTGACTCAAGTATTAACGTATTTGAGATAGTTTTTGTTTTGTGAAAAAGACATTTTTATGCTAATCTAAGCTATTATCCTTTTTTCTTGCGAGCTATTTCACATCATGTTGACATGTCTGTCAACAAATATTGGATTTTCTTCTTTCGAGTGTGAAGTGTGAAATGATGCGCGGATATAAGTATCTCTGTGAGTGCGAATGTGAAATGTGAGCCAATAGAAGACTCACAATCAGTTTGAACAAATAATATCGGAGTTTATTATGAGCATCAATACGAGTTAAAGATAGTATTGGATTAGTGTCACCGAACAATGATGATTAATTAAGATTTTCTTTCTGCCAATCATACAGATTTAGTCGGAGTTGAGCATGATATTCATCCAATTACTGGACAAAAATGACCTGTGATATGATGATAGATCAAAAAACATCATTGCATAAACTGTGAAAATATTTTTTTGTTACGGACCCAACCGATTATTTGATAGGCATTTTAATAGGTGAGGTCCACCCATTCGAAAGACTTCTTCTGAAGCAATTAAAGTTTAATCAAAATAAAAAGGATTTTGTCCGACAGATGTCTCCTTACCCAGTTGTCGCAATCTATGGATTATATGTGGGTGAATGAAGAGATTAGAGGAAGAGTACTTATGATTCATTGTTGTCGAACATTTAAACTAAATATGAACTATTATTCTTCTATAAAAGTCATCCTTTCAATTCAAAAAAAGATAATACTACGACGACTGTAGATTTAACTTCTGCTAGTAATTTTTTAAAAATCAATAAAAATTCTTTTTTACGCAAATGTAGAGTATGGGTCTGGGTGTGTGTATTGGTGAAGATCGTTTTCATCCACACCTATCCTCTCTTAAATGACAGAAAAATCTCTTCAAAAATCATTTTGCCACCCACTAACTAGTTTGTCTCGTTATGGAGATTTTGTTTTCGATGAATGAAAAATGATTCAATACATAAAAATTCATTCCTTTCAGTATATTATGAATCGGTTCTTTGCACATTTGCTGAACTGCAGAGCCAACGGATGCTACGTATGCTGCATTTTCTAATGAAATATAAATGACACACTCTATATTGTGAATAATTTCTCAATAGCACTTTTATAACTTCTGTAATTTCAAAACCCTCACAGAAGAACAAAGCTTGTGCTCTCTCGTTCTTCCTCACCGATATTAAGAACACCGTTTCTATTTTCTTCTATTTATCTAAGAACGTTAGAAGGAAAAAAACAACAACAATGCATGTCTTTTTCTTTCTTCGATAGAAGGCAGAGAAAAGTCGCTCCGCATTAGTTTTCTTCACTACGCCGCCAGTTACTTTTACTACGAACGAGTCTTTTTCTTTGTTTTGAATAGTCATTGCATAGACATGACACAACAGAGTTCGTTGGTGATGACAGACGAGAACCTCGAAACGTACAGTTTGGTTTGGCTCGATGCTTCTATGATTGATTCAAAAGAAAATATCGATATTCAAGAACGACTTCGTTCATTGATTAATCATTGGAAAATCTTCAAACAAGTTAATGAATGCGAACAATACATTCGATCTGTTTCTTCACAAGATCGAATTGTTTTGGTAGTCAGTAATGAATTAGGTCAACAAATCGTCCCTCGTATTAATCAACTTCGACAAATTGCATCTATTTATGTTTATTGCACGGACAAAAAGAAAAATGAACAATGGACAAAGGAATTTGCAAAGGTATTTTTTTAAAACCTTATATTCGACATATTTTAGGTAATTAAAATTGAGTGATTATCTTTTGTGAATTGTAGCGAAGACGAAACAAGATTGAAATGAATTAAGCATTTTCACAGAAGAAAGTCGATTAAATACAGTTGAGATTTATGATTAATGAATGCATAAGCAGATAGTTTTGATGTTTAGAAAGAACAATCGAAACAAGTATCAGCTATGACGAACTGAAATTGGTTTATTTTAGGTCAGTGACGTTATCACACAGTTAGATGAACTTGTAAGTAAGATTCAATCGGATCGAAAGAAAAAGATATATAGTAAAGTTGATGAACCAATATCAATCAACGTTTTCAATACAAACGTTAATCACGGACAGTCGACTAGTGGACTTAATGGTCAATTTCTTCATTCGCAACTTTTGATAGACGCACTTCTTCGAATGAAACCGACTCCAAACGATAAAAATGAACTTATCTCTGTGTGTCAAAAAGAATACAAGGACAACAAAAGCGAATTAGACATTCTTCGTGAGTTTCAACAAGATTATGTATCCGATCGATCTCTGTGGTGGTATACGCGAGAGTCATTTCTCTATCGATTACTAAACAAAGCTCTTCGTACACAGAATATTGATCTACTTTTTCTATTTCGATTCTTTATGCGTGATATTGGAGAACAACTCGCACAATATCAATATTCATCACCGGTTCATCTTTATCGTGGTCAATTGATGTCAAACGAAGAATTGAAAACATTAAAAGACTCAATTGGACAACTCATTTCTATGAACTCATTTCTTTCGACTAGTACCAATCGTCAACTAGCCATTTCTTTTCTTCAATCATCGACAACTTCAGATGATTTGCAACAAGTCCTGTTCGAAATTGATGCTGATCCTCAACTAAAGGGTATCAAACCATTTGCTAATATCACGTCATTGAGTTATTTTCCCGGTGAAGATGAAGTATTAATGATGTTAGGATCGATCTTTCGACTTATGGATATTCATCGTGGTGACGGTCAAGTATGGATTATTCAATTGACTTTGTGCAGCGAAAATGATCATGATTTGAAGCCGATATTTGATCATATGCAAGCACGTCTTGAAGCTGGAAAAACAAGTCTTTATTCATTCGGTCAAGTACTTCGAGATATGGGCAAATTCGATGAAGCCATGAAGTACATTCAGCGTTTTCTTAATGAATTACCTCGTAATCATCAAGATATTGCACTTTGTTATCATGCACTTGGCGTCATTGCTGATGAGAAAGGTGATTACGATTTGAGTCTTGAGTGGCATCATAAATCATTGGATAGGTGGACACGAACACTAAAACCAATGGATCCTCGTCTAGGAGATGCGTATAATTGTCTCGCTGTTGTATATCGAAAAAAAGGTGATTATGTCCGAGCACTAGACTTATACCAGAAGGCTTTGGAAATTCTTCGACGAGCATTTAGTGATGATCATTTAAAGATCGCCATGTGTTTGAATAATATAGGTGTTGTCTATTATGAACAAAAGCAATATTCACAAGCACTCGATTATTATCAAAAAGCCTTAGTCATATGGCAAAAACATCTTCCTGCGAATCATTCTCATTTGGGTGCAGTATATAACAATATTGGAGAAGTGCATCGATACCTTGGTCAATATGATCATGCATTAAAAGTTCACAATCTATCATTGAAGATCTATCAAAAGTCTCTTTCTCCTCAACATCCTGACCTTGCAACAACATACGAAAATATGGGTCTAGTTTACGAACAAAAAGGCGACATGCAACAAGCACTTTCATATTTAGAAAAAGCCGCAGCCATCTTTCGTCACGCATTACCTCCAACTAATCCTGATGTCATTCGAATTACACAAAACATAGAGCGTGTCTTGTCAAAACAAAAATAGAGTTGCATTGTTTTTTCTCTATAAATAAGACTTCGATAATGTTGGAATCTGATGTTCAGACTCATAGAACACTAGTAGTAATATGGAATGACAAGAAAATGAAGTGAGAGATGGAGATGAATAGAGAATCACATCATCGAACCCGCTCCTACACCCACATCCTTGATTGTGAATGATGGTATGATCCTCTATTCATTTACGTTCTACCCACACCTGGAACACTATGGCAAAAATTAGAACAGCCTATCAACATTTTCTAGCAGTAAGTTAAAGCGATCAAGGCGGATATGACATATTCAGTAGTATTCATCATTTATTGAATATGATCATAGCATTTCAAAGATAACCTGTATAAAAACAAACGCCATGTAAATTGAATTTTCATTTTGGAGAAACCATCTATAACTCTAGTGTGTAATGTGCAGATCAAGTCATGAGTAGAAATTTCTCAAAGTCAACTTGGATAATGATTTTTATGCCAGATAGCGATGATAGGAGACCATATACATTGACAAAAACCGAAGAACTGGTTAGCAAGTATTGAAATCATAATGTCATATATCATACTATCGTTTTCATCTAGAATAATATTATGACTGAATGTGGAGAAATCAAATTGCTTGTAGATATGGGTATTCTAATGGTGTCAGGTAGTTACATTATGAACTAAAGAATAATGAACTAATTAGAAACCGAATGAAACCGAATTTTACTGGTCGGATTAGATTTATAATATATGATATGCTAAGAATTCACTATATCATTACAAATCCTTCGATCCTATACAAGTACCAAATAATGGGTAAAAATACTAGTTGTTTGTCAAGAAAAAAACAATACTTCATTTTACTCGAAATTTCATACTAATTAAAAATATATAATTCATTTTTCAAAATATTTAGGAAAAAAATCGCCTTGCTTGTACTTGTTCTTTGGTTCGACAAGCTTCTTCCTCATACCATAATACATATCGGCGATGGTCTTAACTCAAAACTAATCCAGATTCAAAGAAATTCAGTATATAATGAATATGACAATATCATTTTGATCAAAAAGTTAAGCTATGTTCGTACTTGATTCAGAGAAAATAAGTCGGTCACTACAGAAAATGATTTTGATATGTGTTGTTGTTGTCAGTAAAAAAACGGCAGTGCATAAAACAACATTATTTTTTTATTTTTGACTAACTGTCAACAATTTAATTCAATGGGAAAGAGAGAGAAAGGAAACATTGACAGCTGTGGCTGTGGTTGTTGCGGAAGAGAATACTCACACCTACATATACCCTTAAAATTTAAAAGCCACGGGTTTGAAAAAAAAGTATTTCATATTTCATAATTTCATGATATTAATATGAGTAAAAATATTGATTATAATGACGATATTAAGTGTATTATTAAATCAACATTGCTATATTTGTTGTAAATAGCACGCTGTATTGATCAATATCAAATTATTAGCATAAAAATTCAGTAAATTCACCGAGTGAAAGAGAACACTTTGATTATTTTACTACGAAAAAAATCAAAATATACCTATTAGAATGATGTAAAGCAAAGAGTAGAATGTTTTATTATCGCCATAGGCAATGAAGAACAGAATTTAGTACTTTTTTTTTTCTTAGATAAAAAAGCAAATGTTTAAAAATGAGTCACAAACAGAAGTAAAATGAAAAGAAATATGATTACATTTAATTTTTTTTTCTAGGAATATTTTAGTTCTCATTTTATAATGAACAAGATTCGTTTCATTCTAATAACATATGTTATAAAACAATTGTTTATAATAAGTTGATTAGAAAATAATATATTTATCTTTGAAATTAAAGAGAAAAAGAAGTTACATCTGACAAATGCAGATTAAAACAGATAAAACGTCGATAAATATTAATGAATATTTTCCTGATTAAAAATTCAAAATAACAAAAGTTGAAAATTTTATTTATTTAGTTTCTTCACTTAAAGCATATTCATTTGATATATTTAAAGATGTATTGTTATGTTGATTATCAGCTTCGATTGATATTCGCGTTGTAGAAAGCGATTCTCGTTTCATACATTTTAATTCTTTTACATCGTTCAAAGCTGCTGTTCGAGATCCATTCATTTTGTTCTCTTTCATCTGAGCCAATCGAGATTCGAAGCTGCTATGTTCCTTACATATGTGTATTAATAAATTTTTGGAAATTTCTTGTAGTTCTTTACTTTTTGTTGATGGATCAGAACAACACAAATATATAGTTTGTTGAAATTGATCATTAGATATAATAGCTTCAGATAAACATTGAGAAGATCGTACGAACAAAATGTTTTGATCGATAGGTGATGGTTGATGATGTTTGTCAGGATCAAAAAATACGGTAGAAGACATTATTGTTATTCGAAAGAATATCTATTCACTTTTACTTAGTGATAATAACAAGTCAAAGAGACCCATATATATATTAGGTCGATACACATTGAAAATGAATAGAAAAGGATATACATAAATTATGCTTCATCAATTCGCAAAAATACCAGTTCTATGAAAACCAAATAAGTAGATGAAGCATGATGTATTTCGAGTAGTATTGAGTCATAAATGTATTTGTATTAAATCATGGTTTCCAACATAGGATATGTATTGTCATTTTGATAAAAAAAAATAGTTTTTTTTGTGTTTTTTTCCAGCTGTCATCAATAACTAAATGTGTCATAACTTGAAATCCTATCATGGTTGTATAGAATATTCAATTAACCATTGCCCAATCTGTTGGATATGTCTTGAGTATATAGAATTGCACTCGATAGGCTTTTTTTCCTATACGACTTAGATTAGTATGAATCCTTCTTCATTTTTTTCCGCATTTAACAATTGAAGCACCTGAATCATGAGTCATACTGTTCGATTGATGACTACAGTAATTACTTAAGAATTTTATTTGATCACTATCCCAGTTTTCATGGTTTATTTCATCAGCTTTTTTTCTCCTGTCAGTTTTGTGTGTAGGTGTAGTGATGAAACAGGTATGCCATAGGTGAATAGAGGATCACATCCACATCCTCAAGTTTTCTCAAGTAAAGCATGAATTGCGGAAGGTGTTTACAGGAGGAATTGTGCCAATATCGTCATGTGCAATCCTTTTTTATCTGCTATGATGATTGTTCCGTGTTTCACTCTTCTTCGTCAAAATAAAATTTTCAGCTGTTAGTGCCAATCTCACTAACTAAGGATATGATAAACTGCACTGTATGTAAACAAGTATATTTACTGATGCTACAATAAAGCTATAAAATATATCAAAAGTAGTTAAATCAATATAAATTTATCATTACTGTAGTATTAAATTATAATACGACTTGTTCACGTAACGCGATACTTCGCTGATTAAGTTTCGAAAAAAAATTTTTTTTCGAGTTAAATAGATTTGAATAGGTTACTAGGCGCCCTTTTTAACGTTGATTACGAATTTGATATTTATTTTGTAAAAAAATCAGATTTTTCCAGAGAAAATCGTATTTGGAATTTTCTAACCAAGAAAGTTTTTCAAAATATGCCGAGAAGAGATACTATTCGATGCAGAATTTCATTCTCTACAAAACGGGCTATTTAGTTTTGACTTTGGTAGCTGGGGCACCTTGTAGACTCTTATATAGTTTCCCACTTAGTGTTCAGTTTTTGAGTTCCCATATCGATGAATCAATCTGATTGTTTCGTAGAACACTTTGCTACATAGAAAAGACTAATCCTTACAATAGTCAAATCATTCTGACCATGTTAAGTACCACAAAAATGGCTGACAAAACAATTTGTCACATCGTTATGTTTGTTTTGTTGCATTTTTTACGTCAAGAAAAGATGGTAGGACAAATTTTTTTACCATTGTGAAGCTCATTAAAAGCTCTACAAAATTTGTCCTTGCGACATTTTATTTGGCCAGCGACTTTTGCAGGAAATCACAGCTTAAGGAGAAACACTTCAAATGTAGAGACCTTTTATGTGACTCCGTTACGCCATCAAAAAATCTTTTCAAAGACTCGAGAGGTCGACAGAAACTATTCATTTTTATAGCATAAATAGAGCATGACGAGCTGCGTCGAATGGTGCTTGAACGAACTTTCTAGCTCCTAAAGTTCTTGAGATAACTGAAAAATAGTATGTAAAAAACGTAACACTGTTACGCTTGGACAAGCCAAATAGTACTTTTCAACGAAAGGATTGTATACTGTTAAGAATTACTTACAGATCAAAAATGGTTGGAAGTTTTTACTAAAAAAGAATTTTTCAAAAAAAAAGTCGATTCATTGTAACAGAATATTCAAGTTTTGTGAGGTCTAATAATTGAATCATTGTGAGCAATGAAATCATATTTGATAAAACAATCATATTTTTTAAATAAAGTCATAGTAATTTTAATTGGTAACAATATAGAATTGGATGCACTTCAAACTAATAATGGATATGCATAAGCTAAATCAATCTCATGATTTTTTTCTCAATATTTTTCTTCACACTGATCATCAATTTTTAGAATTTAACTTGCCCTAAACCTATCTTTATATGCGCATCTATTGTCTATTGAAATTGACCTATAGATTAAATATATTTGTACACGAATAATTAGGTCAAATACAATCGTTAACGAATACTTCAATAGCATTCATTTGTGAATAGATGGATAAAAGACATTAATATGGCAATATTTCATTTAATTCTATACTCTACAACTTAAACTTATGTCAATCATACTCATGCGTTGGTGAATAATAAATGCAAGAAGAGTGCCGTAAAAGCTACTTTGTTTATTCATTAAATGTTTTTCACTCAGCGAAAAAAGAAAACAAAAAAAAAGTAAAGGCGTACTTACTCCATGCATAAATATGGTTAAAAAACAGAATCAACCATTTTGCTTCGTTTTTTTTTAATATTCAATGTTAAAATAAAATAAATGGTATGCATCGTCATAATCAAAATAACGATTATAGAAATTATTCTTTTATACCTCCATCAAGTTCATCATCTTCACGAAATGCTCATTATCAATATTATGATCGTCGTTTACGTACTCGACAAACTCTATATTCAAATGCAACACCTATTCCGACATATTCTACACCACGTCCTCAACATCAATATCAACCATCATCAACAACAACAACAACAACAACAACGATTTCTGATTTAGCTGAACCAATATCAGTATTTCACAATATAGAACCTTCTAAATATCATCGATCGTCTATAACATCTCTTCCAATAACATATAAACCACCAAATCCAAGTCGACAGTCATCAATTGTTGATAATCGTCTTGCTACAGCTAGTGTTATGCGTGAACATTTATTAAAAGATATTCAACGAAATATTAGTGAGATTGATCAAGAATTATCTTCATTAAAAAAACGACCTTCAATTTCACAATATATTCCACCACGTCTTTCACCTATAGTAGATGTACGACAAACATCAAGTCAGAAAAAAACTCCTTTACCAAATGATGACAAACAAATTTGGCCAGATAAACCTAAACGAGTTTATCAAGTTGTACCACGTATAACAAGTGAAGCAAAAAAAACATCACAACAATCAACACCAAAATTATCTGAACAAAGTATTTCAAATTCATTTATTGGACAATATCATTATGGACCAGAAGTCGAAGAAATTGAAATTCGTGAAAATGATCCTGAAAATTCTGATCTTAAATCAACTTCGGATGAAATATCTCGATTTAATTTTCATGAAATATTTTCTCTAGAACAATTTTATCGTCAACAATCTGATTTACCAGAAAATCGTGCATTAATTTTCGTTCCACAATATGTTGATAATTATGATATTAAAATAAATGAATCAACAGAAGAATTTCAAGAAAAAACTCCAATTGATACAAATTTTGCTCGATCATCAACTGTTACATCTCTACATGATTTAGCATCATCAAATAAATTAAATATTCAAGATTTTCAATTACTTATGCAAATTGCACCTGAACCAAAAATTGAAATTTCATCTGAAAATGTTGTTAATTCTCATGAAATATCCAATCAAGTCGAAGAAAATTTAAATAATACAATACTTTCTAAACCTGTTAAACATTCTCGTCTATCAATAAGAACTCAAGAAACACTTTCTCTTTCTTCACAAACAATGAAAAATGCCGAAAATACTACTGATTTTGATATGAATTATTTTTTTAGTGATTTTGGAAATGAATATGAAGGTGAAGAAGATCTTATATCAATTGATCCTTATCATTTTGCACCACCAACAGCATCTGAAATTATACCTGATGATAACAAAAGTAATATTTTAATTCGACAATCTCAAACATCACTACCAAATTCGCATGCATCAGAACAGCAACAAACAATTGAAAATAATAATCAATATATTAAAGAAACAGAAAAGAAAAAAATCGATGCAACGACGGAACACATTGTTACACCGATTTCAACATCACAATCAACCAAAATGCTTCCAGTTTCAATTGATGACGACACACAAACTCAGTCTGTTAGAAATAACAATAATAGTAACGAACATCAACGGCAAATATTCACAACATCGTTAAATATGAATACAAATGAACAATCTCAAGAAAATAAATTAAATAATTTATTAACAGATCTTCATGCATCTTCATCGAAGTTCGAACAAGAAACAACAAATAAAACTACATCAAAAAATATAAGTCCTACTCATTCAAGGCCAAGGTCAATAAGTAATAAATCTCATTCAAGTCGACAACGATCATCTTCTTTACATAATTCAACTAAAAATCCATCGAAAAATATTCTTTCTCAAGAACAATCATTTACATCTATTCCTAATATTTCTGAAATATCAACAAAACAAACAGAACCTGTACTTGATAATGAACAACAAACATCAAATGAATCACGTCGTAGTTCAGCTATTCCTGTTGTACTTTATTCACCTGATTCTGATAATATTCCAGTATCAACATCAAGAACAGCATCACCTGAAAGAAGAAATTCAATTCCTTCACTTAATCAAAATATACTTTTTACATCAACAGATATTATAAATTTTGAAGATTCAAATACAGAAAATCTTCAAACTGTATCATCACAACAGCCAAATGTAGTAGAACATGAAGAACTTAGCCATTCGATAAATTCTTTATCAGTACAAGAAATTCAACAAAATAATCAATCACATGAACTTCAAGATGAATTATTATCAAATGAAAATCAAGATGAAATTATCAATCAACATCTTTCACCACCTATATCAATACATGAACAAGAAAATAATCGATTAAAATCAGTTTCACCATTAACTATGGAAACAAAAAAAATTGAAGATAATGATAATAATGATGATTTACATTTGCCATCTCTTTCTCCTCGTCATTGTAATGGATC